CTCTTTGAATAGTACCTACACCCTCGTGGTTCGCTAGGCTAAAAGCGACTTTTCCGCTTTTAGCAGGGCGAAGTTTTTTCGCTGCAAGAACCCCAGGTCCACTCCTAATGAGTGGTGGACCTGGGGTTCCCGCAGCGAGAATAGTTCGCACTGCAAAGAACGTGAAAGACGCTGTCTGTCCGAGAAACTATACCCCAGAAAGATGCTGATCTTTTTCCTAATGTTTTCAGATTCGTAATATTTTGAAGAAAGAAATCTCTTTATTCGGCCCTACGACAATGGCGTTCCCTGTGTCTGAGGAGTTTTTGCACTATGCATCAGGTAATTAGCACTAACTACTCACTTCCTCTCAGATCTGTGACCTCAGTTAGTCTTTTAGGTGTCTTCCAACCATACCCTCTAGAGGACTTCGACAAACGAATCATCTACTGGCACGTCGTCCGGTTAATTGGATGGGGTCAAGCAGAAGACGGATCTCATTATTGGACTGCCATCAACAGCTTTGGTGAACATTGGGGAGACTCAGGTAATGCTATCTTGAGAAAGAAAGAAGGCGCCCATGGCCTTGGGGGTGGGGGACATTCAAAACAGAGCTGGTGATAGGTGGCATAGGTCGGGTGGGTTCACTAGGACAGAAAGCGACTTTTTCGCGTTTCGCAGCGCGAAACATTTTTCGCTGCGGGAACCTCAGGTCCACCGCTGATCCATGGACCTGAGGTTCCCGCAGCGAAAAATGTTTCGCGCTGCGAAACGCGAAAAGTCGCTTTCTGTCCTAAGGAACCGCACCCGCATCGGACTTAGCCCAGGAGAAGGGAGAAACTCCAGAGACAAAAATTGCTCACATCCTCTCCCATAGACCCCTTCCTTCGCTAAAGCTCAGTCTAATGTACGGTAAAAGGCTCAATCATTTGAATATCCCCACCCAACGACATGAGCGCGCCAGAAAGAATCAACGATTTCGTAGCTAAAATGACCTAGAGTTCTTCCTCAGAGCGATTTAGGCAGATGTTTTACGGCCAC